TTTTGTTTTGTTTGCAGTTGCGTTTAGGCTATATGATCTGAGACAAACAGGGTTTATTGAGCGGGAGGAAGTGAGTAACCGTTTGTCAGTAGTTGAATTCTGAAAACTGCTGATAACTGATGTTTCAGGGCACTTGTTGGCTTTTTAGCTAATTTGTTTGAAGAATGTTTTCAGGTTAAGCAGATGGTAGTTGCCATTTTGAATGAATCCGAAATAAAATTGTCAGATGACCTTGTTGAATCGATCATTGACAAAGTAAACTATTCATTATAACTTCCTTACTTGAGTCTCTTTCTTGGGCATTTTGATACCCATAGCATCCCTGCAGACATTTGCTGATGCTGATACTGACAAGGATGGTAGAATCAATAAAGATGAATGGAAGGAATTTGTGATTCGTAATCCGTCCCTTTTGAAGAACATGACTCTTCCTTATCTAAAGTATGTGAGTTGCTCCTCATTGGAATTTGGTCGTTTTTTATCCTAAGCTCCCTAATTGTTTGTCGTTCCTTGCAAGGCTGATTATTATGCTTATTTTAATCATTATCATCTTCCAGGGATGTCACGACGATATTTCCCAGTTTTGTTTTCAATACTGAGGTTGAAGACTGAAAATCCAACATGCTTTCGACCTTGGTGATTTAGTACATAAGAAGCTGCATTGTATCTTATTAATTTGTCTTTGCAGGCATAAATAATAATTTTGAGCGTAAATTATGTAACTTGAGCTTGGAAACTCAGAATGACCTGAATTTAGAAGCTTTGGAAAGCTAAGAAAAAGAGCTATAACTTTCATGTTTCGGGTTTTTCCTAATTCTTACTAGACAAGGATGAAAACTTAGCTTGAAGTTGTGAAAGGTACGCAGGGAACTGAAGAAAAACGTCTTCAAACATACTTTAGTATTTCTGCCATAACTTGAGCTGTAGACCTCAGATTGTGCTGATTCTTGAACGATCAAAAAGATAATTGAAAGGGCTACAATTCATATGTTTAACACTTTTCCAGATTCGGACTATATCAGGATCAAATTTGGCCCGAAAATATTCACTGCGGCGAGGAAAAAGCTTCGCTGCGGCAAAACCTGCATCAGATGTAAAAATAAAACGACGCGTTTTGGCTTGCTAGGGCTTCATCCTTAAGTGAGAGAGGTATCAATTAGAGCAAAAAGGAAGAGAAAATGATCTTGGTTCGTCATTTGAGAGGCAGCTCATGGAAGGAGAAAATTATTGAAGATTTGGGCTTCAAATTAGAGAAGATTTCTCCATCTTTTGCTTGTTTTTCAATGATGAATCTTGATTCAGTTTGTTTTGTTATTTCATTTCGTTTTTGAGTATGAACTGAGTTGTTTAGCTAGGGTTTGATATAACCTTGATACAATGATTCAAATTTATATGAATTGATTTACTTTGAGTTTTAATTTCATGCTTGAATGTTTATCTCTTTGCTTAATGACTTTTGGATGCTTGATCACCATTAAAATGTGTGTTGTTCACAATGAGACTGATAAGTAATTTGTGATTGTGCCTCTTGGGATAAATACCGTAGATTAAGCAAATGCTAGAGATAGGTTTAGCGATCTATGAAATTTAGATAGAATTTCATAAAGCTTAAAAGACTTTGAACTATTAATCTTTATTTTGTTGGGTGCGGAAGCTTGATAGGGATAAGTAGGGAAATTTAGCCTGAGAAGGTATGTTTTACAACTTAGGGAATTCAATTTTCAATCAAAGAATTAGAACTTGAGTAATAGATTCTATGATTTGGGTTAACGTATCTAGGTGAAATCAACACCCTAACATTTTTTAGCATTGTTTAATTAGTTAAGTTGTTAGGTTTTGCTTTAATTTCATTATTATTCATTTATATATATTTTGTTAATTTGTATTTAGTTATTAATTTTCCATCAATCCAATTTATTGTTGCTTTAATTAAGACTTAAACGAAGGAAATCGGTACTTAGTGACACTATCCTCGTGGGAACAATACTCACTCATCACTTTATTACTTTATGCGACTAGTATACTTGCTACATTTGTATGTTTATGAAATCAGGCATCAGTTACCTGTGTACATTTTTTTTTCCTGGTAATCAAACAGTGCTGAACTGAGGCCGTGGGAGTGGAGATTTTTCTGAATATTGAAGGATTGTCAACGAACCTTAGTGCTGTCCACTTTGGAGAAAATCAGAATTGAGGGTTTTGATTGTTTCATTGCAACAACTCAATTTCCAAATTGATCTTCTACATGTTCCCTATATAATGTCATGAATTTGGATGCTCATAATCTGGTTATATTAAACTATCAAAATAAAATTCTAATATGTTGTCAACTACTTAACCTTTACTTTTTTTGAAATTAATAATAATACAGCCGTGGGCTGCTTGCTCAACGATAGCCGACTCAAATAAAATAATCACTCAGTTCAAACTCATCACAATCTATTACCTAGAAAAATGAAGCGACTTCTGATGGTGGTGAGCCATCTTATTTTGGGTTTCTAAATTATACAATCAGTAAAAGGTGAACCAGATGCATAAGGTATACCCAGAAGACAAACTAATTGAGAGACCATTAAGCTCAAATCACATAAAATAAAACTAAAAATAACAGCTCTAGTAAGTCCTTACCACAGAAGACCAAGTTAAACATGGCATTTTGACCAGCATTACCACTTAAAAGTCTCACTACTAAGAGAATTTTCCTTCAAAATTATTTGTGCAGTATTGCATCTTCATGGCAAAACTTATGGAACGAGATGAAAGGCACCAACTGGCAAGTCATGCATATAATACATATGAACTAAGGACCCATCTGTATATCCATGCATATTATCGAGCTGTAATTGGACTTTACAGCTGTTACAGTATCAATTTTCATAATCCTTTAGAACAGACTCCTACAATGTAACTTTTCCCATTACAAGTCAATATTGCCTTCTAAACCACTAGAAAACAAGCTCGATGCTAGCTTACATAGTTAAATACTTTCATATCAACTCTTGTATTCATAATAAGTCACTGCATATGCCAAAGAGAAAGAAAAGCAAGAGTTCATCAATGATATAAAAATTACCACAAGGAGATCCTTTTTTGACGCTTCCATTGGCTCAACAATACGAGTTTTGTCCAAAACACCATCCAAATTGAGGAACTGGCATATGCGACCCCATTTAGAAGAATCAAATGGATGCCTTCATCAATTGCACGGACAAGTCAAGAAAACAGTCTATTAACTACTCAAGTTCAGTCCACAACCCACCAAATTTAATGGAATTGGATTTTTTACATTATCCATGATTAGCACAAAATCCTGTTAGGGAAAGTTATACCATGCCTAAGTCCAAATTGTTTCACGGTCAGCAATAATGGATTAAATTTCGTCTTGGGCTGGAAAGGTCTAAACAAATAAGTCCAAAGCTAAACTCTAGGAATTAGGCACGTTCACGCTCTAATTGAAAACGCATATATTAAGCTAGTTAACCAAATTAATTTAAACTCTTCTGTACTTCAAATTGATTATACTCTTTTACATTTCTTCACTAATCCGTTCAAATAATAATGAAAAAAAAATATAAAAATGAAATCACATAAACTGAAAGAAAAAGAAGTAAGAGCCTCAGCTTCTCTATTCCAAGAAACGAAATATCGTAAGCGCATGAGTAAACCATTGGGACCTCAATAAAGCAATAAAAAATTATCAGTCCAAAATTAAATTTAACCTGTATAACTTGTAAAAACATATCAGTGTTAGGTTACCTTGGAAGGGGAACATCGAAGTAGAGCTTGCTGGAGAGAATTCTGTTTCGCTGGAGAGTTTCAGCATCAGTTGCAGTTGAGGTTGATGAAGAAGACGACATTGTAAGATTTCGCATGTAGCAATACAGAGAATGAGATACTTTGACGGTGGCGAATGTCAATATAACATAGAGAATGGGTTTACCGAGTTTCCGAGTTGATTCAACGACAATCGGTATGAATTGGTTCTTCATGGGTAATCGTCCAGTAAGTAAGTAGAGCGGATAAAAGGGGAAACATAAAAGCAGTGTTGAATTGAGATTCGTTGATCTTACCAGTTACCGCTCATAGGATTGCCATTTGGCGCCTTCAATGAATTGGTTTAAATATGCTGCTACGTGGCGTGGGAATCCAATCGGCTTCGTTTGGTTCACATATTAAGTTTTTTCAAAAAAGTTAACTTTATTTCACCAATTTTGAAAATAGTTTTCTAAATTATTCAATTTCTTTTAATCCCCTTAAATTTGTTAATTTAACTATATAACCCTTAAAAAAAATTTTAAAAACTGACAAAACCACCTCAGTAACTCAAATTTACCAGATTCCAATCACCACAGCCAGAATCTGGTGTAGTGGCGCACTATCGCCTGAATCTAGCCTGTAATACGTCGATCTATCCTTTTTCAACTAGATCCACATTAGATCTGGCCGAAAAAGGCCAGATCTACAACCAAAAATCTAGCCAGATCTTTGGCCGTAGATAGTCGTCAACGATGGCTGTATCTTTGGCCGTCGTTGATAACCAAATGTGGCCAGATCTGGTTGTCAAAGGTTAGATCTAGCAGCAGATTGTCCTTTTCTGACCAGATCTATGGTGAATTTGGTCGGAAAATGCCATATCGGCATATGACTAGCAAGATCAAGCCAGTTATACGCCGATAAGGCAACTTTAACTACCCTCCGGCGGTGGTGGCCAACTGTCCGTATTTATGAGTGGATTGGGAGTGTTTATGTTAACTTTGAATATTTTATTATGAGGGTGTTTAGTAAATAAATAAACATAGAAGTATTTATGTTAATTTTTAAAATTTTACATCGTAATATCTACCCAATTTAACTTTTTTCAAAAAAAATATTTTTTAAACTACCCAATTGTGAACCCAACAGAGCCATATCATTGTCGGTTAATAGTTGTAGGGTCAATGAAAATCACCCTCAATAACCTCACGCTTCAACCATGGTTTCTGAAGTCAATGGCTGCAAGTTATTCTTATCTAAAGTTATAGAGGTGTAATTGTCATTAACCAGTAGTTTTATACCACTACGGGCTTAATGGGCCTATGAACGGTAGATTTGAGTTACTGGGCTAATCGTACCCGTTACTGTAGTAAAGTAAGGCCCGTGAATACTAGATATCAAGAGGAAGCTTCTTGCTATCCGGATCATGTTTTTCACGAGCAATTGACTAATTGAGCATATGATGACTGCAATGAAACTTAGCGAATTGATTAATAACATAAAGAAAATTTTAGTAATAATTTACAATTCCTTACAACGTTTGCAATAAATATGTCATTTGAAGACTAGTTAAATTGGAATAAATCCTGAAAAGGACACTTGAAGAAGATATAAAGATATAAAAGTGTATTATTATTTTTTTATTTTTTTTTATAACTGGGGTGTCAAAGTCAGTTTATGCACACCTCAACTAATTCCTGAGTTGCATTAAACACCTTATAAGTTCAAAGGACTAGATAAACCACACTATTATTGTGATAAGTAATCTCAAGATTTGAATCTAGAAACTCAAAGAATAGAGTAAACCTCGTTAACCACTAAATTCAGGTTAAATGTAATATTATTTGTGAAACAGTTTTTAAGATAATTACAAAAATTAAATTAAATTTTAAATTATTCGCAAAAGGACAATAAAAAATATACCCGAATGAATATAACCACAAATCATTTAGGCCTCATAACCCATAAATCAAATATTGCAAGGTGGAAAATGATTTTTCCAGATTCCACATAATTGTGCGATTGATGAGTATAATGTAGATGATGTAAATATAAAGATATTTAATTTATCACCACATGTTGGGTAAGTGTTATAATCAAGTGAGTGGTTGAAATTCAGAGGCATCATTGACATTAAGATATGGACGATAGCCATGTCCAAACCGTATATTAGTTTTCCGTTTGAAAATTATATAAGTTATTCCATTCAAAATAATTAGATTATGATATTTGATCATCCGGTACTTGTAACTTGATATTAGAACTGTGATCACGTGAAGTTAATGTTGCGTCTTGGTCTCTTAGATGCAGTGATACGGACAACGTCCACTTGATCTAATTTCGTCTACTAAATTCCAAAATGACCAATACTTCCCTTAACGGGCCATTGGGCTCTCGGCGTCTTCGTTAATTTTTTTTTTTTTTTTTTTTTTTGCTGGTTGTCTTCGTTAATTATTAACACGAGAAAACAACTTTTTCCCACGAATGATTTAATGACGTTTTTTTATCTATAGATTTTTAAAATATTATTTTAGTACTTAAAGTTAGTAATTTTCATTGTAAGAAATAATTTTCATGGGTGGAGAAGTGTCATTAGATCATTATTTGAGTAGAAAAAAGTCATTTACCCTTTTTAATATTATACCAAATTAATTGAGGCAAGGGGCTCCAGTTGAAATGCATAATTTCTTCAATGATTTTACTAATTATTAGCAATCTTATATATATATAATATATATATTATATATATATATTATATATATATATAATATATATATATTATATATATATATATATATATATCAACTTTCTATAGAGACACTGTAAAATATTAAAATTTGGGTAGTTTGATTTAGATAACACAAGGTATTTTAAAAGTTTATGAGTGAAAACGTGTCGTTAGACCATTATTGGGCGGGAAAAAGTCTTATTAATATTATACTAAATTTAATCGAGGTAGGGGAACTCAGTTGAAATGGATAATTTCTTCAATGATTTTTATCTAACCATATATTATAATATATATCCCTATATATAATATATATATATATATATATATATATATAAATAAAAATTTTCTATAGTGATACTTTATATAGGGGACAACTTTTATATAATCATAAAAATTATAATCTCAATTTGGAATAGTTATAAATAAGAATAAATTTTATATTGTATAGATATAATTTTTTTAATTTCCGTCTTAGTAAGTTTGCATCCACAATAATAATATTCTTATATTGTAAAAAAATACATGTTTATATTACATTAATTTTTTTTTAAAATTAATATTTATTTAAAATTGATTGGGATAACGATTTATCACTTTAGAGTTGTTATTACATCTTTTGATTTACAGGCATGGCTGGACCCAGGATTTTTGCCCGGGGGGCCCCGTCACTCTGTCACTATTGCCAATCAAGTAGTGAAAAACATAAGAAAATAATTTACAGGGAAACACAAGAAATTTTTACGTGGAAAAACCTCTTCAATATGAAGATAAAAAAAAAACCACAGGAATCTAACGACCCACTTAAATCCACTATCAATCAAAGAGTTTACAATAACTACAAATCAACCAAAAATTTCTACACAAATTTAGAGCTCAATTACAACTCTAACAAAGTAGATACCACAAGGTTTACAAAGAGATGGATTACAATCACTCTAAATCCAGATCTAGACGTTAACATTCTAACTCACACCGTCTATATTAAGATCCACACATCCTGGCATATTGACCCAAAAATCAAGTTAGATGGTATACCTAAAGATCTAAATATAGAAGATATTTATTATTTAAAGATGAAAGCAAGTTAGAATAGTATACCTGAAATCTTTCAATTTAACCGATTTTTCGCTTTCATTTTTGTTCTGAAATGTTCAATGATATCTTCATTTTGATTGTAGCAAAACCTTCCTTTTCAATTTAAACTACTAAGCATTTGTTCATCCACTCGTCTCCCCATTTCGATTACGCAAAGTATCTTAACAAGATTCATTGCAGAGAACACCCTTTCAACTGTTGCAGTAGCCACAGGGGCAAAACCAGTGCTAATTTAATAACAAGAAAACTTTTGTCATAAGCACCATCCTTCTTAAACTCAACATTTTTTTTGCAAGATCGGCAATCCCATCAACATGAGTGAAATTGGCATTGGTGCTAACATCCTCATAATAATTTCAAGTTGATTATCGAGCAACCAAAATCGTGTTGAGGAAATCGGCAGGATAGACTTTGCAAACTCAGTAATCTGTCTTTATTAATGCAGCAAAAGAGTTACTTGGATCAAGAGATGCCATACACTGAAGCAACCCCATGTTTACTTCATCAAAACGATTATTGAGTTCTTCTTGAATGTTATCTAAACTGTGTACATCAATTCCACCTTAAAATGATATTTATTTCGTAATTGGCGCAATCTCTCGTTTTGTCCTCCCAAATTATCTTCTATGTTCTCTCCGGATTGGTATGTCATTATCTTTACACATATCATAGCTTCTTTCAACAATATGCCAAGCAAGTGTCTCATTTCTCAATTTATGCAACCGACGCTTCGAAATTTGTACAAACTGCCATGGCATTAAGCAGATCTGATCTTTTCTTTGTAATGCTTGTGACAATTCATATGTGATTCCCAATACTTTCTTCATCAAGAATAACAAAAACGAATTCAAAATTCTCCATGATTCGTAATAACTCCTTGCTTGACTTTTGTTTTGCCATCATCTCCTTCATCTCAATCACTCTGAGCACACCAACAACAGAAGAAAATAGTTTATGACACTATGAATTGTCCCTATGTGTGAACCCCAACGTGTATCTCCTGGTCGTTTAATAGTACATTCTCTCGATTCAAACCGCGTCCCGTCTGAATATCACCATTAGAATCAAAGATATCACATATTCATACTGATTGTCACGTAGAAGATCTCTGCGCTTGCAAGATGCTGCCACATGTTTGATAACATAGAAGAGTTTGAAAAAATTCACCCAATGCTGAATGTTTACTTACAACTTTGACTAGTGCCAATTGGAGTTGATGAAGAAACAATGAATGTAGAAAGCAAATTTATTTTCTCTCAATATTAAAGTCTTCAAACCATTGAACTCACCCCTCATATTGCTTGCTCCATCATAACCTTGGCCCCGTAAACTTGTCAAACTCAATCCACACTTTACAAAAAAGGCATCTATTGCAGTTTTTAAAGACTTTGCAGAAGTATTCTTAA